TTTTTTTTTTTTCCAAAACTTGTGAAATTTATTTATTTATTTTAGGTTTTCAGCTGTAAGTTTGATGGATTTGAAATCTGGTTTGATGACACTTGACAACTTCAAATCTGCACTTTCAAGCATCCAACGACAGCCAAAGTTGGATTGCTTAAAAGGTATGATTTCATATCTTTTCTTTTTATTTTTTCATCTGGGGATTTAAGGAAGTTGTTTTTTTTTTGGTTGCAGATTGCTCAGTTCTGGAATTTTATCTAATGGTTTGCATGAGGAGGTTGGAAACCAAAGGACAGGAGTTGTATAACTTCAATTCTGTAATGAATGGTGAGCAAGTTTTGTCCTCTAATTAAAGATGCAAATCTCTTACATCCTCATCCTCATCCTCATGGCAGAGTACAAAAGTGTACATGACTCCTACCAGTTACAGACACATGATTACCATTCACGTAGTGTATGCTTAAGGGTGAGTTTCATCTTCTCCTTTTTTTTCTTATAATAATAATAATAATAATAATATTAGTTTTTGAAAGGTATTTATGGAATGAAAAAATGTGCAGGGTTTTGAGCACCTTGTTGATCGGCAGTTAATCGAGTTTGCAGATAGAGGACACAATCAGAGTATGGAGTTTCGTGCAGTGAAGCTGTTGATTTCATCATTTGAACTTCATCAAGGCTTGAAATCAAATCGCTTGTTACCAGTAAGTTATTTACTAATTTCATTTTCGTGGGCCATGTGATTATGGGCTGGTAACTAAACTAGAGTTTGGCTTATGAATGAATGAATTGTGCAGGTAATCCTTGAGAAACTAATGGAATCAAAAAACTAAACATGGGAATCAGTTGATGGATGACATCAAATTAGCTTTTTTAACACATGCTAAGAATGTATCGGTTGGAATCAAACTACTACACTTGGGCACTTGCCTTGGCTTGGTTTCTATTTTTATTGAAATGGAGTGAAATTTACATTATAACTCATCTTTATTTGAGGAAGTCTTTAAGCTTACAATTCATTTGTAATTAGAAATTTTATTTTCTATCTAACTACACATGCATTATTGATTATAATTTCATAATCTTTTATTTATGGTAAACACTTATTTTTGATAAAAGTTCATTAGTAATAAATAAAATACAGGCAAAACATTCATAGCATTTACCTATAATGTATATATACAAAATGGCCCATGTGATTTACTAAGGTAGTGTTTGTTTTTTGTCTGCAGATCTGCGAGATGTCTTCTGTCTGCGCCGCGCAGACCACGCGCAGACATTAGTCTTCGCAGACTGTTTGTTTTTTTGAAGACTGCAGACCTAAAAATGTCTGCGCGCTCTCTTCTTGGCGCAGATGTGGACCAGAGTCTTTTAACATCTTCAGACATCTTCTAGCTTAAAAAAACATATATATCTTTATTTTTTTTAAGTTTTTTTTTTTAATTTATATTTTTTCCAACTTTATTAATGATAAACAATATGAAAAAAAAATTACAAAACTTAAAAAAAAAAACATTTGACGATACAAACATGATATTTTTAACAAATTTATAAATAAAAATTTATTATAATAATAGTCGTTGAAGTTGTTTATATAAATATGAAAAAAAAATCATAATATATTCTTATATTTTTTTGCCAAAATTTTGTAAAACTTTATTTAATAGAGTATCATCAATTTCTCGAGAAAATATTTATCGTACGTTTTTAATAGATTTATTTGAAAAAATCAAAGTTTATTTCCATCTATTTATGTATCAAATTCTTTGATCACTAATTATAATGTTTAGTTATAACTTTACAATCAAAGTTGTTGGTTTTTATCAAATATGTATATGAATTAATACCATTTTTATTTTTATTTTTTATATAATAATACATAAAAGTTGATCTAGATTCGTTATATATTTATAATAAAGTCGTAAAAATATATAAAAAAATTCGCTTTGAAGTTTTAAAAAATCACTTTATTTAGATTTCAGTTTATTTTAATAGCCTGCAGATGTTAAAAAAAAACAAACAGTCTTCTTTTTTCAGACTGCAGACGTTTGGTCCACCTCTTCTACTGTAGAGGTCTACAGATGTGGTCCGCAGACTGCAGACATTTTGCCTCAGAAAAAACAAACAGCACCTAAAACTCATCACATTAATCCAGCTTCGCATTTTTCATGGTTTAGTTATTTGCTAGGTTTGACTCTTGTACATATAAAATGTCTATTTTATCTTTTTTTAATACGTTTGACTCAGTCGGTCCGAGTCCATGATGGTCATGAAGTTCATCGTACTCGACGAGTTCAAGGAAGAACTCGATGAATCTAAGTCAATCTCCTTAGTTTATGGAGATGGACTCGATGAGTTGTTTATACAACTCGGCGAGTCACAACATAGACACATTCATATGGGATGATGAAGTCGGCGAGTCGGTTGAAGATGATCCTGATAGTATGATTGAAGGAGGACTCGTCGAGTTCTTGCTAGACTCGACGAGTTTAGTCGAGGGATGTATTGGGTTGAAGGGGTATGGACTCGACGAGTTGGTAGAACAACTCGGCGAGACAAAGTTAACTGGAGGTTGACTTTGACCAAGTTTGATCAGGGTTGACTTTTGGATTATTATGGTCTAAATGTTGTTTGGGTATTGATAGTTCGGGAAACCGAAGGATCAGTAGTTCAGAAGTGTCGGTTAGCAGTCAAAAGTGTTCAACGAATCTTCAGCAATGCGAGGTGAGTCTCCTTATTGCGTGGTAATCAATGTTGGTTTGGGCGTGTCGATAGGGTGAAGCATGAGGTTTGTTTGGGTGGGGGGGGGGGTGGGTAAGGATGGAATGGAGATAGAGTATGTGTGGGAGCGAAAGTGATAATAATATGTTTTGATTTGATAAATTATGGCTAAAATAAAAAGAAAGCGGGACAACTCTTTTTGTAACGGTGTGTTGTTGTGACATGTGCAAGTGAGAAACTAACAATGTCATTTTTGCTTACATACAAGAAGTGATTTAAACATAAAATAACAAAAGAAGAAAAATAAATGACTAATTTATTAACTTATCTCGTGGCGAGGTAATTGGAAAGCTAATCGACCCCACAAAATAGAATCGGCCATAAGTTCTCTCTTATTCTCTCCTTCTCTCGGTTCCTTGTGGTTAAAACGTAACTATTCATAATTTAAATTACGATAAAGATACATTTTGATCTGGTCCAAGATAAGAACTAGATTAAAGAAAGAAAAAAACGCTAATCGACCCCACAAAATAGAATCGGCCATAAATTCCCTTTCATTCTCTCATTCTCTCGGTTCTCTCTCGGCATACCCTCTCTTTCATTTTTTATCAAAGGAAGAAAAAGAGTGTTGTCATTCTTGGGGTGCTTCCACATTAGTTGAGTTTCGATTTGAGCTCTTCATCATCCAAGAAGAAGCAAGGATTCAATCCACATTAAAAGAGTGTTGTCATTCATGGGGTCCTTTGTTGCATATTTTAAATGTTATAAAGTATCATCATATTCCAACAATTAAGGCTTTCTTGGAGAGAGAGAGAGAGAGAGAGAGAGAGAGAGAGAGAGAGAGAGAGAGAGAGAGAGAGAGAGAGAGAGAGAGAGAGATGGGGTGTATCATAGGCCATTTATATATTTTTAATTGATTGTTCTAATGTTGTTGCTAACTTGTTGTTCCTTATGCTTATCCATAAATAATAGTAGCTAAAACAACCCGACATTTCCACCAAGAAATGAGATACGGGTTGACCTAGCCATTGTAGCTTGTGCTTGTAACGCTCTAAATTTTCAAATAAAATTTTCATTTTTAATTCACATAATTCTCATTAACACATTTCACAAAAACCCCAAAGTGTCAATTATTAAAAACACAAATCCATAATCGTTTGAATAAAAATCTAGGATCCTCTAAAACATGTCTCCAACTCGTGTGTGTGTGTGTGTACAATCAAGTCGTTGTCTTCTCGTGATTCTGAGAGGTACCTGAAACATATAACACATATATCACAACTAGCATTTTAGCTATATATGTCACAATTAGCATTTTAGCTAGGAAATTTTGTGTTCATGTAAACATCAACTATTGTGAAACTTGTAACTTTAATTTGATATTATGCAGTATGCTCATTCAATGACAACAAATTGGATCGAAATTCACTCGTGAAATTCAAAACCCAATGCAATACATCTCATGTAGTCAACTATGGGTTGGAAACCCTAAAAATCCCGGTTCAAGTTTAATATGGACTAGGAACCTCTTATTGGGCCTAATGGACCAATAAACTTTCAATTTGGCCATTTTGGTCCTAGGAACCCGATTTGGGCCCTAATTGAACCCACATTCATAAAACTTTAGCCTTTTGGGCCATGTGAGTCTAGGATGATCCATCTTATTCCTATTGGCCATGATGGGCCATAACTGGGTTCATAAGCCTTAATGGGCCGTAAACTACATTATTGGGCTTCTTTGGGCCGTAAACCCTCATAAGGGCCCAATATGCCGATAAATATTTATTTCGGGCCTCATAAACTCGAAATAAGACAAGAGAGGGCCCAGATCTTCTCATCTCTTTCTCCTAGCCCATTCTGCCCCCCCCCCCCACACACACACACACATATATATATATATATATATATATATACATACATATTGGTTAAAAAAATAGAGAAACCAAGTTAATTGTAAGCTTGCCACCTAATTATTGTTTAATGGTAATCTAGGCTAGGATTTCTTAAACCATCGTGTAATAACCAAAATCAATCCCTCTCCTCTCTTCTTATTGCTCTTGGCCGAAGTCACCACCCCTCACTATCTTCGTTTTTACTTTTAAATGCTCTAAAAAATCCTCTCAAAAACTCTCCTTTCCTCCTCTCTTTGTGTGTTTGGACATCATTTCAATTAGAAAAAATAAAATAAAATTTAAGGTTGTCTTTGATTATTGAACTAATATGCGATGTTATTGTTAATGAAGAGTTTGAAGGTTACAATTTCCGACACTAAATATCAAATTGAAAAAATGGTATGTCTAAATCATTATAGGGTCATATAATATGTCACGATTTCACAAACAAAATTATGATTTTTAGAGTAATGTTTTGAACAACATTCTTGTAAGGAAATATATATTTCAAAGTGCTATTTGTGGTTGTGAGATTGAATACTGGAAAGGAGACATCTTTTGAAGAGTTTGGTATTTGATCAAATATATGTGTGGTTGTGAGATTTAATTCCAAAAAGAATGAACTCTATAATTCATTTTTCATTTCCATTTGACCAAAACACCACCTGATATCTTTACAAATATACCAAAATTAAATATGCTGAAAATAGGAGGAGCAAAATGGTAATAATCTAAAAGTCGAGGGTATGCGGACCAATGGAGAGCCGACGGAAGAGAGAGAATATCTATATAAAAGACATTTCTCCGAATACCATAAGCTTCCTCCGATTTTTCAGAAAAAAAGTAGACTCTAATAATCAGAGGTGAGGATCTTCGAGGTAATTTGCCCCCCTTTTCTCCTTCTCTCTCAAAATTATCTGTTAAAATTTTCAATTTTCAATGGATTCCTGTATATATAGCTATCATGTATTCAATCGTGTTGTTTGCGAGTTTTAATTTGAATTAGGGTTTGTGTTTGCGGAAAGTTTAGGATTTCCTGGTGGCGGTAAAGGATGGCTTCGAAGCGGATCTTGAAAGAACTCAAGGATCTTCAGAAAGATCCTCCTACCTCTTGCAGCGCAGGTATCGTATTGTCATCGATCTCTTCAGATCATATTTCCGTGTTTTCCCCGACTCTTATTTTTGATCCACCACGTTCTACGTTTAATTCGAAACCAAAGCTGTGATTTAACTGCGATATCGCTAATCGTTGGTGAAATAATCACTACAACTCCTAGGTTTTTCGTTTTGTGTCCAATTTCCTAGAAAGATGATTCGATCTCTAGGTAAACCTGCTACATGAAGGATTCTGTAGTCATACGAGATCCATGATGTATTGACATGTTAATCGGAAATTAAATAGACTATTACTATTAGGTGTTTAAGTTTCTACATCAGATCCCTGTTGCTTCTTGTGGCTCACCTCCATGGAAAAGTGTCCCAATTGTAACCTGTTGAAATTGGTAGAATCTGCAGACTTTATGAACATCTGTTGGTGGTGATTGTAACTTGTAAGCCAATATGAAGGTGATTGATTCTTGATTTGTTTATCTAATTTTTAGGCCCAGTAGCAGAAGATATGTTTCACTGGCAAGCTACAATTATGGGTCCTCCTGATAGTCCTTATGCTGGTGGAGTGTTTCTAGTTACCATTCATTTCCCTCCAGATTATCCATTTAAGCCACCAAAGGTATATAATAAATTACTCATTTTGAAGAATGAAGAACGATCTGTTTGTTAAAAGAAATATTTACCCTTTTGCCCCTTTTCCAGGTAGCTTTCAGGACAAAGGTTTTCCATCCTAATATCAACAGCAATGGCAGCATTTGCCTTGATATCTTGAAGGAACAATGGAGCCCTGCTCTTACCATTTCCAAGGTTTTAACTTTTTGCAACATTCTGCCACACTCCAAAATGAAATTAGAAATGAGAAAATGTGAAATGATGATTTTGCCCTTTTGGTATAGGTGTTGTTGTCGATTTGCTCTCTGTTGACTGACCCAAACCCGGATGACCCTTTGGTCCCTGAGATTGCACACATGTACAAGACGGATAGGAACAAGTATGAGACAACTGCAAGGAGCTGGACCCAAAAGTATGCCATGGGTTAGATGATGATGATGATGCTGTGTTTGTGTTTGTTACTGGTAAGGAAGGGCACCTTTTTATCTTTTTCCTTTTGTGGGTTTTTGCTTATTTTTAATTTCAAGAAAAAAAAATGTGTGGAATTTTAATATGCGTCTATTGTAAGATAGACTTAAAAAAAGGGAAAAGGTGAACCCCTTCAGACGCTCTTCCTGTTGCTTTTAATTTTGTATGGAAAAATATTTGCCTTTCCAAACTATATCTAATTCTTCTTCTTCTTCTTCTTAACCCTTTGCTTTTTATTTCAAGATTTTCAAGTTTGCTGCTTTTATTTCTCGCAGTTGTGATTGGCTATATAGTATAAAAAATCCCAGTTGTTCAAAGTGGGAAAGATTTGGACTGCTTTGATTTTAAGCTGCTTATGGCAGAGGAATGATTTTGGTATTGATTAATGTTTAAAAATGGTTGATAAAATTAAAATATCACAAAAAGGCAAAATAATCATATTTTACCATTGATTAAGAGGGGCTCTAATGGTGTTGAACAAAATAACCAGCGTGATAAATTTTGAAACCATGAGGACCTTTTGTGTCCATTTTTTAAAACTTGTATTGTACATGAAGACAACTTCGCCAACATGGACCAAAATTGTAGATCAATCAATTTTATGAGTTGACAAAAACCAAAACAAAATACAAAGTTGGACTAAAGTTGTAATTTGAATTTTGGACCATTTGGTAACCTACTCTATTTTGTTATTAGGGTTTAGGTGTTGATTATTTCCTCACAAGTTTAAACGTCTTCATAGGTTCTAGATCATTATTGAAGCAATTCATTAAAATGAGCATCTTTTTCCAAGACTAACAAAATGACCACACAATCCGCATCAAGTGTCTATTCTATTAGCGAGATCATTTTTTGTTACGTAAAAAGACTTTTCGGACAATGTATGTGATTAGAATAGAGAGGTACGTCTATGACGTGCAATTGTTTCCCATGCACAATGCAATGCAGTCTACCAAGTTCATATGTTTTTGGTATATATAATTTAAGTTTAATCAAACTTACATATAATTCATTATTTGAAAAATGCGTTCTTAGAAAATCCACTAATGATAATGGGGACCTATATAGGTAACAATATGCTATTCATCCATATTCTCCTCCTTGGAGCTATTCTACTTTTTCCTCATTCTTACCCTTATTTCCACTCTGAACACGAGAGATATAGTAGATATACTTTAGATCGTGCTTATGCCCATGGTCATCGTGTTCTCAAAATACATACCAATCAACACTAGAGTCTAGAGCCAATGTCAACACTGTTTTTGTTGGAGTTGTTCCAAAGCCATTACATGTGCATCTCTCGTGGACGACCAAACTTTTCAACTTCTTCATGTTAACCACTAACACTTTTTTTTTTCTTTACATATACTTAATTTGGTTATATTCTAAAATGCATAAAAACCAACCAAAATCACAGGTGATTAGGGAATTCATTTTTCGGAAAAATACCATCAGAAACGATGGGGAATGTTGGAAACTATACCCCGTTTAATTTTTAAAGATTATAAATTTTTTATAAGAGCATAGAGATTATTCTTGGGTTGTTATGTTTTTTGTTTGAGGCTACTTACATCATTTGGTATTCAAAGCCCAGCTAGATCCAGTTTATGTAAGCAATCACTAGCTTTAATGCTAGATAAGACTTCCCATTTCATATTACTCGATCATGTTAGATCTTTTCTCTTTAGCAAGCAAAGAACAGTGCGTTAATGAATCAGCAAGCTACTAGCGATTAGGTGTTTCCTTTAAAATAATAAAGAAGAAATGTTTGAACAACCAATCTTCTCATTAAAGAATCAGCAAGCAAAAAAACGCTTATTCACGTATTAGAATGGTCGCATGAAATTTTTGAAAGTTGGATTCGGATCGATTGAACAGGAGAAACCCAAGAGTGCTATGTATTCTTGTGTTTGCTCAGATGAAAGAGAGAGTTTCCTAAATCTGTTGCAAAAGAAAAGCATTAATGGCTGAAAGCCTGAAAGTGAAATGACTGAAGGTCTTAACGGGAGAGGACTGAGGAGAGACAAATGTTAGGTTGAGGGACCAACAATGCTATAAAGGCTTGGATCAAGGACCAAGAGTGAGACAAATGAATCTTTTGGACTAGAGCTGTTATATTCAGTAATCCATATGGACCAATTAACTCTATATTTTGTTAGGTTAAATAATGTTTTGCTATATATAATCCTACATTTGAGTTTAAAAAATGAAAAACTCATTAAAAAGTCTTTATGAAAACAATTTAGTATATATATATATATATATATATATATATATATATATATATATATATATATATATATATATATAACCCATAAAATTTTCATTTTTGATTAATAAGATAGTAAACCATATCATTGTCATAAAACCAAGGTAAATAATTTGTATCGATACATCAACAATCATCAGAGTAAATCACAACATGCGGAATCGAGTGGTGTGTGCTTTGCAATCATCTTGAACTCTTCCATTTGGATCAAAGTACTTGAAACATAAACAGAAAATCGTAAGAACAAAGCTTAGTGGGTTTCCCAAAATACCACACACCATTAATAATAAACACATAATGGGCTCCGCCCGGTATACATATAAAGCATATAAACACATAACACATGCAATAATCAAAAAGATACATAGCATACATAATGGTCATCGAGCCCCGCTCGGCATCAGGCCCCGCCCGGTAAGCATACGAGTATATAATACATGCAAGAGTCACACAGCCATCTAGCAATCTAATATAACATAACCATGGGTCGGCATTGGTGCATTCGACCACTAAACACAATGAGGAAACTCACCTAGAATTGCTAAATCACACAGATAAATCTCTGGCTGCTGGTCCGAGAAATCCCCAAGCTATCAATACTAATGACATCTAATTTACAATTGGATTCCAATCCATAACCACCAGTCCAAAATTAGGGTAAAAAGACCATTTTACCCCTAACTTAGCTTGGTCCAAGACTAAGGCCCAAACCTACAATCCAAAAGGCCCAATTCCAAATTAATCACCTAAGTCCTAATTTTCCAAATTGGGCCCAATCCCTCTGTGGGCCTTTTCCAAGAGAACCCAAAATAACTGATAGCCCAAAACTTGATAACCCAACAAGGCCCTAAACATCTAAGCCCAAACATGGCCCAAACCGAAAGCCTAAGAGTCCGAAGCCCAGCCTACTGAGTACACGAGACGTACTCAGCTCGTACGCTCAACGTACTCACTTTAGGGCTTGTACGCTAAGTGTACCTGCTTGTATGCCCAACGTACTCCCCTATTTGGCCAACTTCCATTTTCAAGCTCTTAATCGATTAAGACTTCAACCCAAACCTAGATCTGACTTCCTCAAGATGGTTTATCATGTAAAGTTGCCAACTTTACGTGCATGCATGGCTTAAAGAGGATCTTAGAGCTCAAAAGAGCTTAATACATGCATGAGACCATAAACACCATAAAGTTTGCACCTTTAGGCTTAAGGAACCCTCCAAACATCCAGATCTACAAGATTTAGCTTTTAAAATGATCTTAACTCACCAATACCAACCAAAAGGGACCAAAAAGGACCATAACAAGCTAAAGAGTAGATCAAAGCAAAGAGTAGACAAGGTATGAACTTTATACCTCAAAAGTTACTAAAAGATGGAGCTAAATCTGGCTCTTTAAGCTTCTCTCCAATGAATGAGTCTTCCAACTTCTTCTTCTATCACTTTAAGGAGCACAAACCACCAAAATCAAGATCAAGGCACAAGAACACTCAAAGATGCTATTAGGTTTTAGGACAATGGAGGCTGATAAAGAGGCCAGTCTTCCAACTTCTTCTTCTCAGCTAGTACGCTAAGTGTACCCTATGGTACCCCCCACGTACTAACACCAAGGACCAAAATGCAACATTTTAATTAAGAAGGGATAAAAGGAAACATACCCATTTTAAATGTTACAATTCCCCCCACTTAAATCAGACTTCGTCCTCGAAGTTTGCTGCCCCAAACAACTCCGGATACTGATCCCTCATCTCATCTTGCGGCTCCCAAGTCTACTCTGAACCCTTGCGGTGCTGCCACTGAACTCTTACCAACTCAATAACCTTATTCATCAAGGTTTTCATTTTCCGATCAAGAATCGACACTGGTCTCTCAATATAATTTAGACGGTTATCCACCTGAATTTCCTCCAACGGTACCACTACGGAATCATCCACTAAGCAGTTCCGTAGCTGAGAGACATAAAAGGTGCTATGAAGCTAACCGAGCTCATCTCGAAGATCCAAGCGATATGCGACTCGAACCTCCCGAAATAAAACTCCGAAAGGACCAATATACCTAGGGCCCAACTTCCCCCTCTTCCTAAATCGGATGACACCTTCAGAAGAACCATATGCCCCACCTGGAACTCTAAGTCTGACCGACGTCTGTCGGAATAACTCTTCTGCTGACTCTGAGTTGTCTGGATCCTACTCCAAACCTGTTGAATCAGCTCACTGGTCTTGAGTACCACCTCAGTACTCCCTATAACTCGCTGACTAAGCTCACCCCAACAAATCAGGGTCATGTATTTCTTCCCGTAGAGCATCTCGAAAGGAGGTCGATTAATGTTGGCGTAGTAACTGTTGTTATACAAAAATTCCACTAAAGGGAGATATATATCCCAACTCTCACTAAAATCCAAAACACATGCCTGCAGCATATCCTCTAGGGTCGAAATAGCCCGCTCGCTATGACCATAGGTTTGTGGACGGAATGTTGTGCTAAAATGAAGACGAGTACCCAACTTGTCATGGAACCTCTTCCAAAACCTGGAAGTAAACCGAACATCTCTATTGGAAACTACCAACACCAGCACCCCATGACGTGCCACAACCTCCCTGATATATATCTCAACAAATTTCTCTGTAGAAATACTCTCCTGAATTGGAATGAAATGCGTGCTCTTGGTCAAACGATCCACAATAACCTAGATCAAATCCATTCCACGAGTAGTCTGGGGTAACTTGGTGATGAAATCCATAGTAATATCCTCCAATTTCCATACGAGAATCTTGAATGGCTGCATCTTGTCGTGAGGTCGCTGATGCTCAACCTTGATTTTCCTGCAAGACAAGAATCGCTCCACGTAGCAATCCATGTCCCGCTTCAAGTAGCAGTTCATGTCCCGCTTCATGCATGACCACCAATAATCAGAACGAAGATCCCTATACATCTTCGTCGTCCCCACGATAAATGGAGAACCTAGATTTGTGCACCTCCTCCATTAGAACCTAACGCACACCTCCCCAATACGGAACCCAAACCCGCTGATGCAGAGTCAACAACCCACGGATATCATAGTCGAAGGAAACCACATGACCACTAATACGCTTAACCTTATGGTGCTCTTCATTTATAGGCTCAACCCGAGCCTCACGAATTCGCTCCAACAAAGGAGTAATCGCGATCATTCTCAAACATATATCCCTGATCGAAGTCGCGACTGCCTTGCGGCTAAGAGCATCGG